AAATACAATCTTAAAAGAGCAATAAATAGCATTCTAAATAAACGAAAGTCTTCCGCCTCTTCAATAAACCCTAACCCTAAAAAGAAAGGAAATATGACTGAAAAAAATGTTGGCTTTCCAAAAAGCCCCGAATATTTAGAAATGCAACGACAACAACAGCAATATGAACAACAAAGACAAAGCTATGAAGAACAGCAACGCCTTCAATATCAACAACAGCAACAACAGCAACACGAAAACGTACAAGCTTCCTCTAGCACCCAACTTCAAGAACCAAATGACCTTTATGACTCTGACAATTATGATAATATTTCTTTAGCAAACCCATATAAAGATTATGAGGATACTGAACCAAAAGACGTTGATATGGATGAAATAAAACTTTGGAAACATACACATTATAGAAAATACCTAAACTATGCCCTACCACTCCTACCATATTATTGCCGCGAACCTTTTATTCTTTTCTGGAACGAAATCTGCAAAATTAAAAAAGATATCTATAGGCTTAAACTGGATCAATATAAGCTAAAAGAAAAAAAGAAAATTAAACCAAACTACCGCTGCAAATATCCTAACTTTCAACTGCCAAATAAAAAAATGGATTTTAACAAAGAAGCTGAAACAAGAGCCCTTGAATATACTAAAAAATATTATGACGAACTAGAAGCTATGTATGAAAAAAGATATATAAACCATGCATTTAAGGTAGAAAAATTCGTCAACAAGATAAGTGGAGCCCATATACCCTATACACGAAAACTTACTTTTAACCTTAATGCAACAGCGCATTTTAAAAAATTGGAACAAACCTTTGTTGATCTATATGTAGAAGGAATGGCAGTTCTTGAAAATGCACTACTTTATGAGTATGAAACAAAAGCAGATAAGTTTGACAAAGAAAATGAACCACAAGACCCCACCTTGGACCAAGCAATTACTAACAGAATTCAGGCCGCTGTTAATAAGGAATTAAAAAAGTTTAATGTTAAATCGGTGGAGGACCTTCAAAAAAAGAAAAACAACAATAATAAAAATAATAGAAAAGGTTCAAAAAGCCGTTCTAGATCTAGATCCAGATCTAGAAATAACAATAATAATAATAATAATAATAATAATAAAGGCAATAATAATAAAAATAAAAATAAAAAGGTTTTTCGGAAAAAACCACAGAGGGGAAAGAAGAAGAAAAATTTAGCTTCAAAATCGACCTCTCGCTCAAGGTCAC